GAGAGAGAGAGAGAGAGAGAGAGAGAGAGAGAGAGAGAGAGAGAGAGAGAGCAAAGTTGATTGTGAGTGCATTTGAGTGTTGTTGTGGTGAACGAGTACTGAATGACTCTCTCTGTTGTCTATTGTTTGGCACTATTTTTGTCGCCAAAATTTAGTATTCAATTTGTGTTGACTTTTTTGATACAATAAATTGTTCGTTCAATTGATTGCATTAACTGTGGTTTGAATGGATTTATTCACCAAAATCAGAGACACATTGACCTCATTGTTGACCAATCATTTCGATGACATGAGTGGAAGCGCTGCGGCGGCGGTAGAGGTGGCCCACAATCTGTTGTCGCAAATGGAGGGCAAAGACAAGTGCATCGAAAGACTGTATCTGTTCTACCAGTTGAGCGAAATCGTGAAACACATGCCATCGATGGCCGAAAGCGAGTCCTTCATCAACACACTCTTCTCGTCGCCTCTGAGCCAAAGACACGCTAATCTGATGTCACAATTGATTTCATTGGCTCTGAATCTGCGGAACGAAGAGCTGCTCAACTGTACGGCAAAGTATGTGTTGACTTGCGATCGGCTTTCGCTCTCCAATGACATCAAACTAGAGCTCAGTTTAGCCACAGATTCGCCACAATTTTGCGCCGCTTTTATCAGTAAAGGATATTTCGTGGGAAACGATATCACGAAACGACAGTTAACTCATTGGCTCAACACTTTGGTCACAATCATTGACGACAACCTTCTGGTGCTCAACGCGTCCATCCGTTTCTCACTACTCGACGGTGCCGTCGACTCTGACCTCCATTTGGCGATCATTCATGTGATCCAAGAGCGCAAATGTCAACCGCTGTCCAACCAATTGGTGATCGATTTGGCAACAGTTATCTCCCAGCGAACCAACAATGAAGAACTGGTCGACCGTTTGGCGCAAATCATTATTATCTCCTATTCTTGTAATATGTGTTTGCAATCAAATCAAGTGAAGAACACTTTATTGTCTAAATTTCCCAATAATTTACTCATTAAAGCGATTTGCAAATAGAGTTTAATTAATAAGTTTCTGTATATATATTATATAATAATAAATATATGTGTTATTTGTATTAAAATTATATATAATTTTAACAACAATTAAATTATATATAAGTAGACAAACATTTGCATTATTTATAAACATTGAAATAAAACTGTTTTCATAAATACTTTTTCTTTCTTTTTGTTACAAAAAACATTACAATAAATTCATAATTGATTTCTCGATTGTAATTCATTTAAATAAATGATTTCAAAGGCAGACAAATGCTCTAAATTAGGCTTTGATTGCCAGCGCAGGTAAAGCGCTGACCAGAACTCGGTTTTACTGATGTGTGCATTCAATTTCAATACTATTGTTTTGCGTCTCTTATATATCGGACTCTTAATGATCATCATATGATTGAGAGGTAAACCCTCTCTAATGGGCGGACACTTGAACTCAATGTCTGATGAACTTGTTTTGGAAGCGTTTCTGAAGTTAGGAACGAATGGTGTCGACGGCTGTATGTATTGACAGTCAAAGAGATACATGAGATAGAAAGTGGAGAACTCGAAGTCATACGGGTTTTGAATTATGAGTTGTGAAACACAATCGAGAAATAGTGTCAACAATATATGATTCACATTTCGGGGGCTATTCTTCCGATACGCCAAACCCGTTAAGTAAAGCCATTCTTTACTTATCAGCGATTCAAAGCCACTGAATGTTCTTCTTCTCGGATCAACCATTATCTGCACCAACGAAGAGATGACACAATTCCAATCTCTGTCCATGTCTTCGACTAATCCAACTGACGATTCAGTTGTCATGATATTAACGATTTGTGCGACCACTTTGAGTGTTGTGTTGACACAAGTAATCCATTTCCCAATTTTGTTGATACAACCGCTCGTCTCTTCATTCAAATTACTTTGAAAACAAACTTCTTTTAATTTGTCATAACTTTGTTCCACAACCAGAAGTGTCGGCAAAAGTGATTCCACATTAATTTGTCGCAAAGGTTTGACCATATCTTTCAACAAAGAGTTGAGGTCTTCGTAATTATCAAAAGCAGAACTTCTGATCAATAAATTGCCGTTTTGTGGATAAAGGTATGAAACAATGGGAACTCTCTGTCCTCTGGTTTGAGTGGAGACAAGTGCTGTCAACATGTGATCAGTGATCACTTTGGGCACAACGAAAGTGGGCGGAAGACTATCGCACAACTGGTAGTTCTCATTGATTTGCGATAGTCTTAGTTTATAGCAGTCCTTCCAATGGCTCTCTAACTGATCCCAATCGGCGTTTAAAAGATAACTGTAATTATCTTTTAACGATTTCGTAAGTTTTGATGGCTTTTTAAGAATACTATTCACTGATAGTCGACTCAATTTGTCGACCAATCGTTTCGTTTGCTCGCAATTCTTCATCTGGAAGCGAATCCGACGGAAATTACAGCAAAAGATTGTCATCGAAACAAAGTTACTGTCGATCGAGTCCTTCATCTGATCGATTGCCAACAAATCGATCTCAAATTTGGATGACTTCTCGCTATTAAATGGTATGAATTGTGACAACGAATGAATGGTTTGGTCCGTCTTGTCGTCCATGTGTTGTGGAGTATAGCTTAAGAACATTAATCCGCTGCCATTGAGTGTCAATTGTCCGCAAATTCCCGTCTTGTGTTTGGTATGAGTGTAGAAGTAATTGACGCCTTCGACGGTATCACTCATTATTGATCCCATCGATGACGCGCTTCGGGTGACAGCTCTTCGGTCTCTCATATCCAACGATAGCCATGAGTTGCGGCGAGTTTTGCCCAAATCAGTAGTCACTCCGTTCTCATCCAAAGTGGTCCACATCTGGCCATCAAAGCAAACAACAGATCCGTTCAATCATTATATCAGGTGATAATGTGGTCAACACTTACGTCATCCGTATTGACGGCACTCTCTTTGTCTGAATTGATGCCCAAATCCACGTATGACTTGAATGTCTTCTTATTGGTGTTGATGTTAGCCATCATCGAAGATATGGAGGAAGAAGTGTTTCGAGCCATCGATTCTCAATCTATTGTATCAATTGTTTTGCCACTCTTTGCGTGTGATCTCAACTCCAATCCATTGGCGTCTAAAAGCATAAAACGATTGATTGTTTCAAACAAACTGTAAATCAAATGAAAACAATGTTTTGAAACAACATTTGAGTTGACGTTAAACTTGAGTCAAAACATAGGCCATAGGCTGTACTCAAGCATAGCATTCGATGCCTATTAAAAGTACAGTGAAGTCGTGTTATGAGCGAAACGCCCACTTCTCTCACCACTAACCCATTGGACACCACATTTAGCGCTACATTTATAACTCAATTAATCTTTTATTTATTTACAGTTTAATCAAACACTCGATCCTTAGATATCTATATCTACTAAATATACGGACAATTTGTGCCCTAATTTTAATCATAATTATAAATAGTTAGCAAATTTCTACAAATATTAATAGTAATCAAAACTACAATTTTGACATTTTATGAATTGATTTGTGGATATGGTATACAAAAAGGCAATTATTTGCTTAATTAGCAGACATTTAAGTGTTTTAAGTTAGCAAATTTCTACAAATATTAATAGTAATCAAAACTACAATTTTGACATTTTATGAATTGATTTGTGGATATGGTATACAAAAAGGCAATTATTTGCTTAATTAGCAGACATTTAAGTGTTTTATGGATAAATTGTTATAATGTTTAGCACATTGTATTAATTGCAATATAAAAGGTATTTATTTAATCTTTATCTTCCTCTTCCTGATCGGCGTCTTCTCCATTATCTCCGTCTTCATCTTCATCGTCGTCTTCTTCCTCCTCCTCCTCTTCTTCTTCTTCTTCGTCCTATAATTTAATAAACAATTTATTAAAACGTAAGAAATGCTAAACAATGAGATAACAAACCGATTGGTCGCAGTTGTGGCAAAACCAGGTATAACCTCGTTGTTTGGGTGTCTTCTTCATGGGTGGATCCAAACAACTCAAATGGTAATTATTATGACAATTATCGCATCTATTATCAAATGTAAATTTAATCAATGACTTACACATCAAATAACGTACAAAAAAATCATCAAAAGACTTACAGAACTCGCTCTTTAATAGACGCCATTTGATTGCAATTAAAGCAAACTTCTTCTTCTTTCTCGGGAACTCTCTTTGCTTTCATAGGCTTTCGAATGGTTTTAGTTCTGGTCTCTGATGTTTCGTCACTTTTATCTTCTGTTTTTGGTTTCTTTTTCTTCTTTTTGCCCGAATTTGAACCCAATTTTCTTTTGCCTAATTTGGAGGCAAACGATAGGCTGGAAGGGGGAGGAGAGTAACCCTCGGGATCGTACTTATTGGGTCCCTTCACGTGTTCTCGTAGTCTTCGGGGAGCGTTCTTCGGGGCGGACTCATTGCTGTCGTCATTGTTGTCGTTGTTGTCACTGTCTTGTGTCTCGTCCTGTTGTTCGGTGCAGTCAGAGCACTGCCATCCGCCGAATCGGGTCTTTTTGGGCATTCGAGTGAGCGGTGGGTCCAGACAGTAGAGGTGGTAATAGAGGTGACACGAGTCACACAACGCCAACTGATGCTGATCTTTGGTCTGGTGACAGATCCCGCACTCATCCATCTTTATAGCAGAGCTGTGTCTGCTTTTCGACTCATTCAGCGATGATTTCTCTTTTCTGTTCGCTTCCATTGTTTCCAACAGTTTTGGTAAAGGAATGCTTTGATTCGACAATTGATTCAAAATATTGAAATAACTTTTAACGCCAGTCCGAAGACTATCCGTCTCTTCTTTCATTTGATCCAAATTTTGAAGACACTTAACAATACAATTGCTTTTATTAATTAACATTTGCAAACATGTACTTCAAAATGCAACACAACTAATGACTAGAAATAGTATAATTAGGAATCAATATTTGAAATTACTAATTGCCCAGCCTCACACAAGTGTTCCAAGTTACTGTAACGATTCCCCCATATCTACCGATCACAACATTATTTGATAAGTTATTTCACACACTGTATGTCCCAATCCTATCGTTAGTAGAGTAATGACAACAAACCTTATCGTATGACAAACGCGTTGTTCTCTCAGTTTCTTTGAGTTGATTGTTCTGAACGATCAGTTCTTCGTTACGCTTCTTCATTGAAGACATCCTATTATTTCGATCTGATTTAAGAATACAATTATATTAAACACAATTCACACCTCAATTGATGACTAAATAGAAACCGATATAATAGCTGATGAACTCGAGAGAGAAGGCCGGCGGGACGTGCCATTTGCGCCGCACGTCTCCCACTTCATGGCATACTATATGCGTCTGAGGGCTCAGTCCTAATAGTTCTGCTTTTCTGATTAATCTCTTCATAACTGATGGACACGTCTGTAAAAGTCGGGGTATTTTCTGAGTGGGGACTAAAAAATGAGATTTAAATGACATTATTTTAAATTCGTTAATCAAATCGCCGTTTAATACAAACCCCAAACGTTTCCTTCAATTTCGGATCGACTTTCGGACCATTTGTTTCGTTGTTTAAAAAGTTTTTCCTTAATCCTTTGGTTTGTAATTGGATTCAATACGGATCTGAACTTTGACTGCAAAGCCAACCAATTTCTACGCTTGCTTTTAACAGTGGTTCTGTCGGCGTGTAGTTTGCAGTAAGCGATGAATGGATCCACTTCTTCGGCCGAATGGCACTCCGATAGCAGTCCCTCTCTTTGAGCGCACGTCACGTGGAAATAGGATTTACACATTCCTGCGTCACAACAGATACTAATACCGGTTCGGCTGAGTCTGTCGTCTTCGCACAAAATGCACGCCTTTTTCACATTAAAAGACAATAATTTTTTTAAAAATAATGAGTTAATTGTGTGGAAAAGTCATACTTTAAGACCCCATCGAGAATAGGGTAATTCAAAAAGAGTGAGTCCCGTGAGTCGTGTGACGTCACCGAATGCAACGCCGGGTATGTATAGCGCGCACACCATATGAACCCAACTATTGTTTCATTTTAAAAATGTGTTATTATTTGTCACAACTCTTGTAAATCAAGTGTAACTTGAGATGACATACCGGCCAACATCTGTCGCTTTGAATATTCCGCCTGAATTTGGACACAATTCGCAATACTTTATGTAAAAAATAAAAATTAAGTTTTGATAAATGATATAAAAATAGAGACAATAATGACAAGACTAACCGGATTGGAGACACAGGCCCGACACGGGTCACAAAACCACGGCTCAGTTGATGCCGAAGATGTATTGGAATGAACTGATTCAGTGTCATCGGAACAAATACCATAACACCCTTCGTGTACTGATATACCACACGAATCGCATTCAACGATTTCATCATCGCTTCGAGAAATATCACCCAAACAGACACTACAGACCAGTATTGGAGTTGCGCTGAATGTCTGTCGCGGAGGTGTTCTGTGGCCGACAGTCGCCAAAGAATCCGATGGTTTGGACACAGATTTCTTAGATTTTAATTTACTGTTATCTTTGCTTGACTTCGGCTCCTCATCGCTGTCGTCGTCATCGTCTTCATTGTCAGCGCTCTTATCGTTGCCATCACTGGAGTCGTCGTCGATATCGTCGTCGTCTTCGACGGTATCGTTGGGCACGTATTCGCTGTCGTCGTCGCTGTCATCCAAATCTGTGGCAAATATCAGACTCTCAACCGGTTTTACTTTCCTCTTCTTGGGATCCCTTTCGACTTCACGTCCAAAACAAACAAACAATTAATCATTGAATCAATAAATTATAATAATTATCAAAATCTAACTCATTGTCCGGTAGAGGAACCCGAGGTCTAGGCTATCGTTCGGCATCTCTTGGGATCAGATGAGTCAACACAAGACTATTTTGGCCACAAATTAAGTGTAAATCCAATCGAAAAGAAACGACAAAATTATCTCAAAATTAAAGTTTGAATCAAAAAATAAATTCAAAATTAATTTCAAAGACAAGAAATGCTGTGAAAAAGTGTTCAAAAAATCAATAATTCATTTGAAACACAAAATAACGTCTTTTAATACAAATAACTTATTAATGAATTAAACTTAAATTATTTAATTTAATTGTAATTTTATTACAAATTTTATTTACAAACATTGTCTGAACTTAAATTGTTTTTATTTAAATTATAATTAAAACAAAGTATTAATTGTAAATTATTTTAATTAATAATAAAGTTTAGCCAAAAGTGATTGTAATTGATGTGAAAACTCATTGTCTGTTCATTTGTTTGTTTGAATGAAAAGCACAACAAATAAATTGCAATTCATTTCAAATAGAGTTTAATTAACGACTCGTTTGACAATTAATTGGAGACAAAAGTGCAGACAAATTGTGGCCAAAAGTCAACACAAATATCATATCAATTGGTTTGAAGTGATTGAGAGATTGAGACAAAGGGATGACAGATATGGACAAAACAAACCATCGGATGTTAGCCATCGCTAAACAGGTATCGAGCGATTGATTGTCTCATTAATTGAGTGTTTGGTTAACCGATTGCTTGGATGCAGAATATGGTGGAGTCTGGAGAACGGGACCAATTGATGCAATTGTTGCGGACACGACTTCTGGAGTGCGGATGGAGGGATCAGGTGGTGATGGAGTGCAAGGATGTGGTCAGAGATGTCGGCGTCGAGAATATAACGTTAGATAAACTGATAGCAGAGGTGACGCCGAAGGCTCGCCAAACGGTTCCCGATTCTGTGAAACGAGAACTGCTTCAGAAGATCAAGAACTCCATCTCAAACCAGAGCTCACTCTCCTCTTCGGCGCCTTCCTTCTCATCGGTGTCTTCGGTGTCATTCAATCACAACTAACGCTCATTTCTATTGACACCAAACCATGTATTCAACAAATTATATGATTTCTGTATTAAATTTCTAAAAAACAGACATTTTTTATAAAACAATAAAATCTTTTTTATTTACTCTTTTCGTTATTAAAACTAAACTTATTTATAAAATATATTTCATTAATGTATATATATTTTTGGTTAAGAAATGAAATCATTAATGTGTTAGTGAGTGGACTGAATGGACGACTCATATCTGTCCAGTTCTGAGGCCAAGAGTGTCGTGGAGTCGTTGTAAACGATTGACAAACTCTTGTAAAGTAGAATCGGTTTGTAGTTCATTAGTGGCGCCCAAAGAGTTAGTGCTCACAGTTTTGGCAACACTTGATTTGCTTGATTTCAAGTGATTTCGAAACTTCCACTTACGGACCAATAGTTTCATTCTGGAGATCGCAATCACACAATAGACAGCACTTCGGAAACGATTTTTGCCGCTTTGATAGGCCGGCAATTCGTCGTCAACTGATGGACACATTTCACAAACATATTGATTAATAAAATGCAAGTTTTGTTAGATTTAATGAACTTTCAATACCTGTTACATTCATATTAGCCAATAGAGCGAGAGTTGCCTTTTCAGTCAATTGAAAGCCGCCCAAAACGTGAAGTAAATACTTCTTCTGATGAATCAATGCATTCTTTTGACTCATCACTCGCTTTAGTCTCCACAACAACTGAGAAGAGACACCATTTAGACGTTCGTCTTCTTCGGCAGCCTTTTCCGAATGGATTTGAAATATTTTTCCAGAACTGGAAATAGATTTCTCTCTTCGCTCTCTATTATCGCTTTCGAATCGAAGGAAATTATTCTTCATTTTATCGATCAATTCATTTAAATGTTTTATTTTATTGTTCTTCTCTTCCAACTGTTGTTTCAGGAGAATCACAATCTCGTCGTTTGAATTGAGTTTAGCTTTTAATGAAGAGTTTTCTTTAAGAAGTCTATCCTTCTCTGACTCAATCACTTTGAGCCGACACTTCAATGACTCGATTTCCTCAATAAGGCGTAAGGATTTGATCTGTTCTTCGCTGATCTGACACTTCAAGTCGTGAATATGTTTCTCGAAATGATTTAATTTTAGTTTCATTTCTTCGTTTTCTTTCAATGACTTTACTTTTTCGGATTCAATTGTTTTCAATTTATTGCTTAGAGAATCCATTTTCGCCATCAGTTGCAGAGTTTTGGCATTTTTTTGGTCGACCTGTTCTGTGAGTGAGAGGAGGACAGCGTTCACAGAACTTAAGTTTGCCTTCAATTCTGCGTTTTCTTTGGTTAAATGGCTTTTATCTCGATTCAAAACTTTTAATTTCCTACTCAATGACTCAGTAGTTTCTAAATATTTTGACTCTTTTATCTCGATTTCTTCCATTCGTTGTCGCATTGAATTCACATTCATTTCGTTGGCACCGAATTTGGACTTTAATTCCTCATTCATTTGAATCAGTTTTAATTTTTCACTTTCAATCGTTTCGATCGTTTGTTTATAATTATCTATTTGTTCGATCAGTTGTTTGGACGCAAACCCTTTTTCGTCACTTTTCTGTTTAATGGCTACAAGTATAGCATCTTTTGAACTCAATTTGAGCCTTAATTCGTCGTTCTCTCTGACAAGAGAACACTTCTCGGAATCTATTGCTTTAAATTGACGTTTAATAGCATTTAATTCGTCCATTAATTGCAAACTTTTGTCGTTTTTGTCGTCAATCTGTTGTTTGAGTGAAATTAATTCGAAATCAAATTTCTTATTCTTCTGTTCCTCAGAAATCAATTTATTCTGCATTTCTTCAAACATATGCTTCATATCTGAAGAATCCAAAGACGACTCAAGTCTTGATTTAAGAGAACTTAACTGCAAGTGCTTTGTGTTGAGTTCGTCTTTCAGTATTTCATTAGATCTATAAATTTCAGTCAAATTTCTTTCTAAACTCTGCTTCTCTTTAACTAATTCATCGTAATCTATGTTCTTCTCACTCCTAATCAGTTCCAATTGGTTCTTAAGACTCTTGTTCTGAACGAGCAATTTGTCGATACATTCATTCAAATCATTCAATTTGTCTCTGAGAAGCGCCACATCAGTGTACGAACACTCCAGTGATGTGTCTTCGGATTCAGTTTCGGCTGATCCGAGGCTGTTCTGCAGGAGATGTGTCTTTGATGTGATTTGTTCTAATAAATTATTGGCCAAAACATCGTTCTGCGATTCCTCGTTGATTCTTATCTGAAGTTCGAGCGCTTCATTCAGACCATCGATTTTCGACCTTAACTTCTTCTCTGATTGACTGCTTTTGTCGCTCTCTCTTTCCATTTGGTCTATAATAGCTTTTAATTCCGATATATCGTTGTTTGCTGTCTTTAGCTGATGACTACATCCATCCAATTGTTTCTCTTTGAAACACTTCTCTTCGGTTAAACAACTCATTTGAGTTTCCATTTCTTCCAAACGTGATCTTAACTTCGATTCGCTTTTCTCTTTATCTTTAAGCCTCTCATTCAAAGCAACCAATTCTTTGTGGTATTCATCTCTTTCGAGCTCTCGTTCGTGGGTTTGTTCGTCAATAAACTTACGATAACTCAATATATTCTTTTCGTTGGCTTCGATCTGAGCGACAAAATCCTCGCATTCCCTGCGTTTGTCGTCCAGAATGTCATCCCTTTCGCTCCTCAATGTCTCGCTTTCCAGAGTTAACGCATGTATTCGTTGCAAGAGTTTGATCCGTTCTTGTTGTAGTTGAAGCACATCACTGTTGAGGGACTCATTGTCGTCAACCAATTCTGTGATTTCATTATTATTAAGCGAATGGAAACGCATTAATCAATGGCAACAAATAAATATGGAAATAACCCACAGAATATAGAAATGCCATTTCAAACAAACCTGAGTTTGGAAACAGTGCAGTGTTTTGTGCAGAGATATCAGTGCTATTTATAGAGACTATATATGATATGAAATGCTTATTAGATACCAATCACCAAAAGTTAATGAGAGTTAAGTGAGAATAGAGTGCAATACCATTACGTTCCGCGAGACTTACTTTTTTGAAGTTGTGGTAATCCCTGTGCGAAAGAACTCTTCTCGTCTTCCAGACGTTTGTTATCACTCATCCATTTGTCTCTTTCCAACTCGTATTCATTCAATTTAGCTCTCGTTGTCTCTAATTGTCGCTTCATTTCGTTGTAGTCAATGAGGTTCTCAGAAAGAGTTGACTTCTCTTTCTCAAGGCTTTTAACCCTATCCTCGATTTGGAACAACTGTGTCGTCAATTTGTTACGTCTGACACACTCTTCGTTCAACTCAGACAACAGTTCTTCGTTTTTCTTCGCAACCGAACTATAGTCGTGTTCGTGTTGTGCGGACAACACTTCACTCAATAGCTTAAGGATGCGATCGACGGCAGTGCGGAGTCGTCTACTGGCGCCCAACACCACATCCTCTTCCACCTCATTCTGACCCGAAGGTGGCGTATAATACACTGCATTTGAATTAGGCGTCAAATCAGGTCCGTCTTCGCACAATTCATTCGTCTCCTCAAGCCTTTCGTTCACGTCATCGTTGATCGAAACAAAACTCTGTAATAATTCCTCTTTATTTGTTACCCTATTTTCTATTCCCATATCTATTAAATGTTTTTGAATGTCGTGTTCAGTATCTATGAATGTCTTCACTAAATCGGACAACACGTGAAGAAGTCTCGAGTTTTCAATAGGCGTTTGGGCGACATATCTATTAATGTAATTTAGTTTAATTATAGAGCACTTTATGCGAAGTACAGTCAATAATTGACACCAATTAAAGCCAAAAAACAATGAAATGGTGAGGAATTGGGATAAATCTAATCGCTATTAGGAAATCACATGCAAAGGCAAACCAAACGCATTCACAACCAAACAATTGCCGGACAAAATTGCCGTCAAAATAAGAAAACTCACTCAATGTTCTCAATCTCGGACTCATGTGTCGGTGCATTATATGGTGGATGACTTTGTGACCAATTATTACAACTTTGAAACAAAATCCAATCAATAATCAAAATAATAATTTCAAAAATCATACAAAATTATAATTCAAATCATTTGTAACTTAAAAGTGGGAAATAAATGGTAAACGAGTGGTCAGGGAATGAAAAAATGTCAAAATAAATGTGATTACAAAGTGAGTGACGAAACCATTTTTTAAAAGTCTAAGTTTTAAACATATGTTAAAAGACATACTTCTGAAGAGTTTGAAAAATTGGTGACCGAGACGTCGATCGCAAATGCAATTCGTTTTCTGTTATATTCTGAAGAAATGGAGAAAAGGGCGACACCGGAGAGGAAGACTCGTTGATTCGTGTCTTTGTATACCTTTCAATCTCGTGGTCGCCATTCATTTTGAGTGACTTTTGTTTGTCTTCTAATTCAGTGATGTATGACTTCAAGCGATCGATCTCTTCGTCGAGTTTGCGATTGGTGTCGAGGTATGAGTTCCGGTCGCTTACCATCTGTTGTTGCAATTGATTCACGCGCTCCGAAAGAGTCGATTCGATGCGTTTCTCGCGTTCATTGAACTCAACCATCAAATTGTATTCAAGTCTTTCCAACTCTTGTCTGCATTTCAAATGCAAATCAGACTCCGTTTGCACCGAATTGTCGCCCAAATAAGTGCTTTCGGACACTGAACTCAACGTCTTGAGGCCGTGCGGAACGGTGTCCACCGATAACAGCGATTGACTCAGTCTTCGGGGCTCTTCAACGGAGAAGGAGTTGTCTTCCGTCCACTCTGTTTGGCACTGAAAGTCGTGGAGAGCCGGCGACGGCTGTCCATCCATTGCCTTATGTAGCAGTGATGTGGACATTAACTTCAACTGACTCCTGAGCTCCTGGACCTGTTGTGCCATTGTCTCAGCCGTCTCTGTGATGTCATCGCGACTCTTCAGCGTTGTCTGCAAGCGTTCACTCAATTGTTTGATTACTGCTTCCCGTTGTCTAAGCGTTTGATTCAATTGCAAGACATTGGCCTCACTTATGGACACACTGTCGTCGTTCATGTCGTATATATTCATATCACTCATGTCTTCATTCCTCCACATCTCCATTCAAGGCGTCAAATATGTGGCCATCACTAGTGATCATATGTTTGTCAACATTAAACACATTATAAACACATATTTCTAACAGTTTTGTGTCAATTATGGAGACATTCACTCAAAACAGTAATTCATTCAACCATTCATTCACTCATTCATTGCAAACTGTTTTGCATTTCATACCAAATATACACAACTGTATTGTTTTCAACACACACTCAACGCATACACCAGTCGTGCCATCAGTTCTACAATTGACGCCAACTTCAGCCCCAATACCTCTACACTCTGTCTATCACTCTATGCCTTACGTCTCAATGCATTCATTGCGAGACATGTCTGCATGAGTTGTGTCTCATTTTGAGTCTATGGTTCGGTCACGTGACTCATGACAACCAATCACAGCCACCCTTTCATACACTCTGTCTCTGACGTCATAATCACGTATTTCTCAACATTTATTTTATTATTTTTACTGTTTTTAAATGAATCACAAAATCTTTAACCAATTTTTGCATTTTATTTAACAAATGATTTACTTTTATAATTGAATTAACGATTCATTGAATGCAATAATTACTCATTTCTTCATTTATTGCATAAAATGTTTGGTTTTTATCACAAATTTTTGTCATTTTTGTCGTAAAATAAACACAAAAAACGCAATAACTTTGTGAAGGAAATAATGATTGGATCAAAGTTTGGGATCAATTGCGGACAACTTCTGCACAGATATAGTTTGGGTGCGAAATGCGGTCAATGCTTGAGTTCAATGTCAGTGAGAGATGAGTGGAAATCATTGGCACAAAAGCAGATGAAAGGCAAGAGTAGCGATGGGTTGGTGTGGAAGACAAACGATGGCATTGAAGTGCTGCCCATGTATTTGGCCGACGATGTGAACCAAGACATCCACTCAGAGATGGCGGGGAAGTATCCGTTCACTCGCGGGCCGTACCCCACAATGTATGCGCAGAAGCCGTGGACTATCAGACAATACGCCGGATTCAGTACTGTTGAGGAAAGCAATAAGTTTTATAAGGAGAACATCAAAGCCGGACAACAGGGACTGTCCGTCGCTTTCGATTTGGCCACTCATCGCGGCTACGATAGCGACGACATCCGAGTCCAGGGAGACGTCGGTATGGCTGGAGTAGCCATCGATTCCGTGGAGGACATGAAGGGTCTCTTCGCTGACATCGATTTGAGCAAAATGTCAGTTTCGATGACAATGAATGGAGCGGTGATTCCTGTGATGGCCTTCTATATCGTGGCCGCCGAAGAGGCGGGCGTTGAACAGAAACAACTCTCGGGAACCATTCAGAACGATATACTGAAAGAGTTTATGGTTCGCAACACATATATCTATCCGCCGAACCAATCCATGCGAGTTATTGGCGATATCTTTGCTTACGTTTCCAAACATATGCCCAAATTCAACACTATATCCATATCGGGTTATCACATGCAAGAGGCCGGCGCTACGGCTGTCATCGAACTGGCCTTCACTATAGCCGACGGCATTGAATACTGTCGGACAGGCATTAAAGCGGGTCTTACTATCGATGAGTTCGCGCCCCGACTGTCGTTCTTCTGGGGAATAGGAATGAACTTCTATATGGAAATCGCCAAAATGAGAGCCGCGCGACGATTGTGGGCGCATCTCATCAAAAAGAACTTCAATCCTAAAGACATCAAGTCATGTATGTTAAGGACTCACTGCCAGACATCGGGCTGGTCTCAGACAGAACAGGACCCGTACAACAACATTGTGCGCACGACTGTCGAGGCGATGGCCGCCGTCTTCGGTGGCACTCAATCGCTTCATACGAATGCATTTGACGAGGCGTTAGCTCTTCCGTCTCGATTCAGCGCTAGAATTGCTAGAAATACTCAAATCATTATTCAAGAAGAGACGGGTATTCCCAAAGTGATCGACCCGTGGGGCGGCTCTTATATGATGGAAGCGCTCACCGATGAGGTGTACAAAGAGGCCATGAAGTTGATCGACGAGGTCGAGGCCTTGGGAGGGATGGCTAAGGCTGTGGCCGAAGGGATGCCCAAACTGAAGATCGAAGAATGCGCGGCACAGAAACAGGCGGCCATTGATTCCGGCAAAGAAGTGATTGTTGGCGTCAATAAGTATCGGCTCGAAAAGGAAGATCCCGTCGAAGTTCTTGTGGTCGACAATAAAGTGGTTCGCGAGACACAGATTAACAAAATTACTAAAATGAAAGCCACACGTGATTCAAATCGAGCCAATCAGGCGTTAGAAGATCTAACAAAAGCCTCAGAAACCAATGGAAATGTATTGGAGAAAGCGGTTGAATGCGCCAGAAGTATGTGCTATTAGTTGCTATTTGTTTGCCATTAGTTGTGTTCAAAGATTTTTGTCGTCTATTCTTATAGGTCGGTGTACTTTGGGTGAGATATCAATGGCAATGGAAAAGGCTTTCGGCAGATATGTGGCGGCCGACCGACTCGTTAGCGGCGCTTACTATTCGGCTTACAGTCAATTAGAAGAGTTAAAAGCTATTCAACAAAAAATCAAGGAATTCGAAGAATGCGAGGGAAGACGGCCTCGAATTCTGGTGGCAAAGATGGGTCAGGACGGACACGACAGGGGCGCCAAAGTGATCGCCACCGGCTTCGCAGACGTCGGCTTTGATGTCGATTTGGGGCCTCTCTTTCAGACGCCCGAAGAGGTGGCCCAACAGGCTATCGATGCGGACGTTCACTGCGTTGGGGTTAGCAGTCAGGCCGCCGGACACCGAACTCTAGTTCCAATGCTTTCGGAAGCGCTTCAAAAGTTGGGCCGACCGTAAGATATGACTCTTTTGGTGTTTTAAACCGTCAATAATTGTAATATTAATGTTTGAAAGGGAGATAAAGATAGTGGTGGGAGGGGTTATACCTCCTCAGGACTACCAGTTTCTGTACGATAAGGGCGCCGCTGCTATTTTTGGACCCGGTTTGTCATACATTGCATTGAATTTAGTGAAATGTTATGTTTAATGTTCTCTATTTGATAGGAACTCGTATTCCTGTGGCTGCACTCCATGTCCTCGAAGTTATTCAAAAGGATTTGAATGAAAGACAGACTCAGAAAATCTAATCATTTGCTGTGTTCACCATTTAAACAATTCAATTGACAATATATTTTGAATACTTAGTTAGTTTTTAACGGGAAGTGACAGTTATATCAATAGTAATAATGTAAACAATAATCACTAACTGTTTGCTAATAATGTTGACAATTATCGCAATATTTGCAATAAAAATGAACTCTCAATGGATGACAATAGTGTAGTGAAAGTATTTTATAACAATTAGTATTTTATGGGAGATTATTGGATATATTTTATGTTACGTTATATCATGTTATTCTTGTTATTCAATATATGATTTATTTTTATATTAAGAATTCTGAAATTTTGTTAGTAATCTCTTGTTTTTGTTAATTCTATGAAAAATAACGAATAAAAAATGTTTACAATTTATATACAGTTTATTAATCAAAGAAACATAAAATTGTATTTAAATTAAAGCTTTTAAAAGTTATTAAATATATAATACAATATATTTTAATTTGATTTGAGTGTCAGTACTATTGCACTGTACAAACATTGGGTTTTGTTTATTATAAATAATGATAAATTCTTTATTTATTAAAAGTTATAATATTCTCATTAAAAGTAAAAAGAGTTAAAATTTCAGTAAAACAAAAATTCATTCGTCGTTTTATTACTATTACTATAAAATAGTCGATCAGTTGTCGATAATATCTAAACCAGAATCAAACCAAATAATGATTAGTCGCGTAAAGGGATTGCAAACTAGTGTTACCTCTATTGGTGCTGCGCTGTTGAGGATTACGTATTACAGGTCGGACCACATTATTATTCTGTATGTTTGCGTTCACTGCGTTCCGATTGGCCGCTACGCCTCCACCGCCCGCTCGGATGGGTTTCACTGTTTGACAAAATCAAAACAAATGGTTAGAAAACGAGTGAAGAGTGAGAGAGTGAGTGTGTGATGAGACCTATCTGAGCCATGTGTCCCCTTCGCGCTAAGTTCTTCTGTCGGACGGCTTCTTTGATTCTGTCGACTTCGTATTGATATCGCTTCCTATCCTTCATCGCCGACTCTTTGGCCTCTTTAAGCGCTCCCTCGAGAGCCTTAACCCTCTCCATAGTGGCCCGCAATCTCTTCTCCAGTTTCGGGAGTTCACAGCGAAGGTCTGCGTTATCGCGAACCAACTGTCCGTTCAAATACACACATGTATTACACATATTATGTTACATAATATAAAACTGATATGAAAATACCTGTTTGTGAACTTTAGTCAACTGATCCAAATTGTTTTCTAAGAATGAAATCTTTTGTTTCTGAGCGACAGAACCGCCAGAATTAGCCGAGTCTTCGGTTTCCTCTCCTGCGGCCGACTTCTTAACTCTACTCTGAAGATCGGAAACAAATAATTTCCTCAAATTGTGAAGTGTTTGCAACTCTTTAGCGACGGTCTCTTCGAGTCCCTTCAAGTCCTGTCGCGCCTGTTCTCGTCGGTCATTAAGAACAGTCATTTCATGCAATTTCGCGCTCTTCTCCTGCTCTTCGGTCTTGAGTTTGTCGTATTCGAGTTGAAGCCTCTCCTGAGCTAATGTCAGCTTTTGATTGGCGTCTTTCAACTGATCAATGAGTGACTGTTTCTCTGCGATCTCATCCCTGAGCGCTGACAACTGTTTTTGATGGTTTTCCCGGTGTTTCTCTATCTGTTGTTCCAACGCTTTCTTCATCTTCTCGACGGAATCCTTTTCTTTTTGCTTCTCTTTGGTGGTCACGTCATGCATCTCTTCGGCCGCTTTAAGTTTAGTGCACTCTTCGTTCAGCTGATCCACAGCTTCTTCGAGCGAACGCTTCTTATTTTCGATGTCACGCATCGACTCCTGTAAGGACTTCATCTTCGC